AAATTTAGCAAATCATTGCTCATTTGCATTCATTAATATCTTGTTGGCATATTACCCTGTTTTGCAGAGTTGTGTTATCCTCTCTCTAATAGAATGTCAACCTTAGGCAGAAAGTGTATATTCTTTCAATCTCCCCATTGAGTTATCCCTCGTGGAATATTTTTTCTTTAGCCTTCCTATACAGCTATTTGTATGGATGGAATATGATTCCCTTTTGAATTTATTTCTCCTGAGGTGTTATTTTGGTTGACTGATTCATTCTGGTTTATTTTTGGATTGAATCTATGGTCCCTAGCAATATTATTATTTTGATTTCTCCAAGCTTTGAGCTCTGGTTTGAGAATGTGAATTTATTTTGCCACGAGAAGACTTTTACCTCTTTAGCAGGAATATATTGACATTCCCCACGGAGTCCTTTTTCTTTCCCCCAAGAAATCATTATTTCAATTTTTTCATGTAACAGCAAGTGGCAAGTCTCTCTATTTGAGCAACCTATACTTCCCCAATAAGTATGTCAGTTCCCAAAGAAGATTCAGATTTGTTACTCCAATTAATGATAGCCTTGTCATTATGGAAGGTAGTTCGTTGTTGAGATTTGTTACTCCAATGAATGGTAGCCTTGTCATTATGGAAGGTAGTTCGTTGTTGATATTTGTTACTCTAATGAATGGTAGCCTTATAATTATGGAAAGTAGTTCATTATTGAGGTTTGTTACTCCAATGAATGGTAGCCTTGTCATTATGGAAGGTAGTTCGTTGCTGAGATTTGTTATTCCAATGAATGGTAGCCTTGTTATTATGGAAGGTAGTTCGTTGCTGAGATTTGTTACTCCGATGAATGGTAGCCTTGTCATTATGGAAGGTAGTTTGTTGTTGATAGTTGTTACTTGAATGAGTGGTAGCCTTGTCATTATGGAAGGTAGTTCGTTGTTGAGATTTGTTACTCCAATGAATGGTAGCCTTTTCATTATGGAAGCTAGTTCGTTATTGAGATTTGTTACTCTAATGAATGGTAGTCTCGTCATTATGGGAGATAGTTCGTTGTTGAGATCTTTTTTTGAAGGATGGTAGTCTCGATATTATGGGAGATAGTTCGTCGTTGAGATTCACATTCCTCTGAAGACTTGTGTCATGTTTTGTTTCCTTGTAACCTCTTTTGTTTTCATTGTAAGCCTAATAGGAATTTATAATTTAAACTTACTAATAAGATTTTTTGTTTGTGTTTCCTTTTGATTAACAAACCTAAATCCCACGAGGTCCTTGAAAACATTGCATATGCATCTACATGCCATACATATCATTGCATAACAGGTTTCAAAGAACTCCAAGCTCAGAATGCTCAGTTCCAAGAGATGTTCCTAAATTTAGCCAAAGGGTAGGAAGAACTAAAGGCGCTCTTCGCCAACGGGAAGAAGAAGAAGACAAAGAAACCAATCGGAATCCTTAATAAGGGGAGAAGGTTCAGAGGTCCAGTCAAGCGAGCTGGAGATCTTGATATCCCATCAGACAAAGATGGAAAATAGGATGAAGACGGTAAGAGTGTTAAAACTGAAAAGAAGAAACCTTGGTTCTAACAAGTATCCTGACAAAGAGGAAGAGGATTATTTGGATGAACAATATCCCCCTGCTAATGAGAAGTATAAGCTACTGGAAGAGCGTCTGAAAGCTACGTAGATCCAAAAGGTGCCTGGCTTGAACTTTGAAGAATTAGGCTTAGTCTCAGGAGACGTAATTCCTCCTAAGTTCAAAATTTCGACCTTTGCTAAGTATGATGGTGTTTCTTTCCCGAAGCTGCATTTGAGATCATATGTTCGGAAAATTTAACCACACACTGCTGACAATAAATGATGGTTTCATTTCTTTCAAGAGAGTCTATCTTGAGCATAATTGGAATGGTACTATCAACTTGAAGGTACCAATATCCATACCTGGGAGGATTTGGCTGCAACTTTCTATAGACAATATCAGTATAATTCTGATTTGGTACCAACCCGCATGCCACTATAGAGCATGTCCATGGGTTCTGAGGAAGGCTTTAAAGACTACACGTGGAAATGGAGAGATCTTGCAGGCAGAGTTCAACCTCCTTTGGCTGATAGGGAATTGGTTGACATGTTCATGAGTATGCTAGTAGGTCCTTTCTATAATCACCAACTTGGAAGTTTTTTAGGTAGTTTCACTGAACTAATATTGACAGGGGAACATGTTGAGAATGGAATCAAAAGTGGAAAATTCAGGTGACTACATCTTCAAATACTGCGAAGAAGTCATACAACGATAAGAAAGAATCCAATGTTATATACAGCTAGAAGGGTGGTAATAAGGGTGACCACAGTCAATTTGTGGAAGAAGTTATGATCTCTAATCCTACGCCAGTACAACAATAACAATAGAATAATCAGTGTAGGGAGGATGCGCCCAAGAGACAGTTCACCAGAATCAACATGCCGTTGTCTCAAGCATTACAACACATTTTAAAGGCAAAGTTGATTACATTGAAGGATCCTCCTAAGAACCCAAATACTTCCTCTCCCCATTACAATCCTAATGCAAGGTGTGCATACCACTCTAATAGTCTTGGACATGACACTAATAGTTGTTGGGCGTTGAAAAATAAGATTCAAGATATGATTGACTCAAAGGAGATTGAATTTGATCCTCCCGAGACTCCTAATGTGCTCACTGCACCTATGCCTAATCATGACAAGGGCGTTAATGCTATTGATGATGTTTCTTATTTTTCTGCTATGAGTCACTTTACTATTACTCTGATGATCGTTAAGAAGAAGTTGTTGCAAGCCGGTTTTTTGCGGGTTGCATTGAAAACTACTACTACTGTACGTCCCAATCCAATGGTTGTGTACTGCTGAAAGAAGGCATTCAACATTTGATGGATGACCGTATGATTCTATTTGAGAAAATTCCTCCTGTAGAGAGCTTATGCAAAAGTATATCTTAAGACTTGGAGCGTGAAGATGTTTTCGTGATTACAATTTCTGGTACTCCTGTAAGGATCACTTATAAGGGTCATATGAAGATTACTGCCGAGCGTAGGGCGGCTCCTCTGATCATTAGCGCGCATAGGACAATTCCATATTCCTCTGACAAGGTTATCCCTTGGAATTATGGAGTTGATGTCTACTACCATGGCGTCAAACAAGAACCATTGGTTATTGAAGATAAAAATACTGTAGTTACTAATCCCAATGTCGACAATATTAGTGGGGTTAGTAAGGTTACCAAAAGTGGAAGGGTTTTTTCTCTAGAGATATCTCCAAAGGTTGTTTCTACACTGTAGCGGTGAAAATCGGAGATCGAGCTATTAATTAACTCGACTCGCAAAAGCAAGAGTCGCCACCGCACTTTATTATTTCCAAGGGAAAAGGGAAAAGAGCGAAATAAAACCCTAAAATATGCAATGTAAAATAATACTTAAAAGTAATAAAAATACAATGCGTTTTTAAAAGAGATCGAGAGTTCGGGGGTTGGTTATACAATGGGAAGGTATTAGCACCCAATGCATCTGCAGTACTCCGCAGGAACCTTTTGAAATATCTGTTTTTGGTTAAAATTGTTTGTTTGATTAAAATAGTTCGTTTGGCTAAAAATAGGTGTTGGCGAGATTTTGAAGATACGACGACCTCGTGTCAAAGTTTTGGTTTAAAAGAGTGTATGTTTGAAAATGGAGTCTTTGGGGAAAATTATCTTAAGTTTGGAAAAATAGTAAATAAGCAAAAAATGGATGAGGGTATTCGCACGATTGTAACAAATATATTTGATGACATGAAGTCAACAAAGTTAAAAACATTTCCCTTGGATTTTAGACGAACGAAAAAAAGATTAAATGATTGAGAATAAAGTTAATTGGAATGACAATTGAATAATTAAGTAAATAACTAATTTATACTAGCATGTATTTTTTGAACAATTAAATAAATAAAATTAAATAAAAGACTAATTTGTAAAGCATGTATTTTTTGTATTTTTGTAACATTTAAAAAAAAACAAATAGCAAAATAAATAATAAAAAACATAGAAAAGGAAATGAGTAAATGGGCCAAACAAACCGTAATTGTTGATTTTCTTTATGTCAGCATATCTCATCTCTCCTTTCTTTGCCGCTTCCTGGAGAGCATCTCATACTAGTCTCTTGGCAATTCCCGCTCTTGGATATTTGAAAACAAGATCAACCGCTGCTTCATCGCTTAATCGTTCCCAAAGGCCATCTGATGCAAATATTAAGAATAAATCATCTGACTCAAGCTCCCTAATAATGATTGATGGCTCAGCTGTCATTACTGGACGCTTAAAAGGAATGGGATTTACAAATTGCCGAAAAGTGGGGTTGTGGCGGAGCAGTGTGTTGTGAGCATGACATGGAGATGGAGTTGTCGGATGCGGTAGTGGACGGTTAAAGGAGAAAGATGTCGGCGAGGGATACTGCGACGAGATGTTCATAACTCTTCCTTTCCTTTTTCCCTGCACAACAAACAGATAGAAACAACATAATAATTTCTTTTGCTTTGTAAAGCTGCCAGTTGAAGATCAACGTCGTTTTTTGGCTCGCTTAAGATGGAAGCTTTGAGGTCTTTTTGATGAAGATCTTTTGACGAAGCACTGGAATGTGGCCTCGAGTAGCTTGAGTCATAAGGGTATTTTGATATTGAAGAGTTAGCTTTTGGAAGAGATAGTGTGTCCTTTGGAAGGTTGGCTTGATGGACTACCAATTCCTTTGAAGAAAAACCAGAAGCCGGATAGTTTGTCATGTTCTCCGCGTAGTTGAAAAATTGCATGATGTAATTGCAGGCATCTGAAGGAGATACTATTTTAGTTTGAAGCTTTAATAGCAAGTCATCGGTTTTAAAATGCAATTCCTTCCCTTTGTGATCTTCACTTCCCATGAAAATCCTCCTGACACAGTCAAGCTCTTTCAACAAGGTCTCAAGTCCCCAATCCTTTGCACAACACATGAAGACGTCTTTGACGAATCCAAACATTTTTTAGGCATGTCCGCATCCGATACAATGAAACTGCATTTCCGAGGTCCCAGAAGGCCCCTTCAAGCTTGGCCCTGGTTTGATAAGCTTCCTTTGGAGGCCACATACAGCATGGCACCAGTGTGAACAAACATCGCATCCAATCCAGCTACAAGTGTTACTTGCACAATCGAAGTTCAAACAAACAGGACACATACAAGAGCTACAGAACCCTTTATTTCCCGAGCAAATCTTACAGTCACAATCATCAACAGGAAGCAAACTCTTGCAGGTAACATTTCTACATCTCCTATACAAGAAAATCTCTACCATCTCAGATAATTGAAGATTACCGTATAAGAAGCTCGACAGCCCCATCTTGATGGCAAGTAAAATCTCTAACTGAACTTTATTGCCCTTTGAAAGATTATCCTTGGTAAGATCAGAACTTTTCTCAAGCCGGTTTTGAAGGCTGACCAATTCTTCTTTCTTGTTCTCAATCAAATTCTTCAAGTATTCCTGAGTTGATGCCATTACTTCACCGGTAAACTCCTGAGTTATCAGTGAAACAATAAGGACAGATTCTGAAACAATATCCCAAACAATTCTCTCTGGTCTTGAAATATTCCTCATCTTACCACCATCTAAACCTTCAAACACTCTCAGATTCTCTGAGTTATTTCCTCTTGAATCCCCCGAATGAGCTTCAAATCTAGGCCTAGCAGGCAATTCAGAAGGAAAAAAAGAATGATTTTCCGAACTAGTAGTTTTATACTGACTATTATTCCCTTGTTGCATGAACAAACTGATATCGGTTCCACCTCCATGATTCGACAAACCAACAACACCATCACCAATTGGTTTAAACCTGCTATGAACAGAACCATTAGTCCCTTCACCACAGTTCCAAATATGATCATCTTTGCTCGTCGAAAACTCAAAATTCTCAGTGGAATTCCGCGTTAGAGAGCAACTTGGATTGTGCGAAAATGGATGTGAATAAGAGTAAGACAAAGAAGGTGCTATAGTATGGTTTATACTACTGCCTGTGTATGAGGAATTTGGTTTTTAGAGAAGGATATAATATGTGATAAAAACTTGTCATTTCTGCTTTGATTGAAGAAGATGAAGGAAAAAGGCGCTAGAGAGAGGAAGAGAATTTGAGATGCTGTTTTGGGAATGGAGAGAAAGATAAGTGGTTTACTGTGTTGTATTTTTTGTTGTGTGTGTAGGGTGGGATAACAGGGAAGATGGGTTAAGAGAGAAGGGTGTTGCTGTGAATTTGCTTTTTTGTCTTTTCTTTTTTTCTATCGATCTGCAACTCTTGCTTACAACCAATGAGAGCAAAGCAAAGTGTAACAAACATTTTTTTTATGACAGAAAAGCCCTTTAATGATAAAAATAACTTAAAAACCTAAAAGTATAAAATATAACTCAATTTAAAATAGTTTTTTTGAATTTTTATCTGAATTAAAAATAAAGACACAAAATGATCGAAAACGATAAAAAATGGACGAAAATTTATCCGATAAAATAAAATGAACACATTAAAATAAACTACATGTCACGAAGATTAAAGAAAAAATATTCAAGAAGTCAAAAATAAAATGATAAAATATCAGGCTAATACGGACATTTACGGTTAAAAACGAGACTTCAAACTATACCGAAAAAATAAAGCGAGCATACCGTCATAATCTACGCGTCATGCAGATTCATAAAATGATCGGTAAGAGGTGAAAACTTGAAATATTTTTCTCGCTATCTTTTCGCACAATATTGAATTGCTTTTAACGGTCTGTCTATAAAACCAAAATATTTTTATTATTGACATATAAACAACTTGGAGCACTGCAAGAAAATAGTAAACAGATAAAGATGAATGAAGTGAAACGCCGGGTATTTTACAACTGAAAGACGATGCAAACTTTGATTTAAACTGACTTTTTTGATCAACTTAAATACGACTAATGATGCAAAATGTGATGAATGAAGATATTTACTAATGATCGTGACCAAATGACAAAATATGGTATGAATGTGCGACTGAAAAAATTAGGGGCGAAATTAAGGGTGCAACGGTGTGCCTTGATGAATCAGTCTTCGAGAGTCCACAATCAACCGTACTTCTGGCTTGAAAGACTCAAAACCTTAATTAAGGCGCGACACCTGATGCTCTTGATTCAGACCTGTCTCTGCACATGACACAAAAGAAAACATGAACATACACCTTTGTATGCGATTAGAAATTAGTGATACATATGCTAAAAATGTTCAAAACACTTGACAATCTTCGCATAGTCAAAGCTCGAAGGTGAGACGTTAAAACCGACCGTATTTCGTGACCTTGACTTATCTTAAAAAATGCAAAAATAAAAATGGGATCTTAGGTCAAAAATTGGGGTACAACAGCTGCCCCTATTTAAGTTTCTTCTATCTGGAGATATGAAGATTGGGATCTTCATTTCGACGAGATTGAAGGGACTTAAATATAGAATACACAATTTTTGGCCTTAAGATACCGCGATTATGTTTACAGTGTGATATGAATGTGATGTTTTGAATTTTATGGGGAATGACGCCATATGAGACAGACTATGCTGGAGAAACCAAGCACATTATACAGTAATCCCACAGAGGAAGAGGTTGTAACTCCACTGGGGAAACAAAGTCATAGACTTCAAATGAGAGACTCTTGAATGATTTACATCAGTGTTGAGACTGAAAAAGAGATGATTTACATCAGTACGAAGACTGAAAAAAGAAATGATTTACATCAGTACGAAGACTGGAAAAAGAAATGATTTACATCAGCACTGTGATTGGGAAAGGAAATGATGGACATCAGTACTGAGACTGGAAAAAGAAATGATTTACATCAGTACGAAGACTGGAAAAAGAAATGATTTACATCAGCACTGTGACTGGGAAAGGAAATGATGGACATCAGTACTGAGACTGGAAAACGATTGACATCAGCATTGTGGCTAGAAAACAAAATGGTTGACATCAGCACTGTGGCTGGAGATAAACATCTCTGATTTCTGAATTTTACCAAGAACGGTAACACATTTCTTCTTTAACCAAGATATCGCTTGAGAAGGATAAAATAACAAACTTCCCCACAGGACTTTTCCGAAGGGATGCCATTTGCTGAGTAGACATTATTGCTGGGGATACACCAGCTGCTCAAATAAAGAGGCCTCCACTTGCTTCCTTTCAAAGGTGTCAATAACACACAAGCTGCTCATGAAGAGACCGCCACTTGCTGTCTTCAAAGAATATTAAAGCACACAAGCTGCTCATGAAGAGTCCGCCACTTGTTGCCAAAAACCCACAAGCTGCTCATAAAGAAGCTGCCACTTGTTTTCTTCAAAGAATATCAAAACACACAAGCTGCTCATGAAGAGTCTGCCACTTGTTGCCAATAAACCACAAGCTGCTCATGAAGAGCTGCCACTTGCCATCTTCAAAGAATATCAAAACACACAAGCTACTCATGAAGAGTCTGCCACTTGTTGCCAATAAACCATAAGCTGCTCATGAAGAGCTGCCACTTGCCATCTTCAAAGAATGTCAAAACACACAAGCTACTCATGAAGAGTCTTCCACTTGTTGCCAATAAACCACAAGCTGCTCATGAAGAGCTGCCACTTGCCATCTTCAAAGAATGTCAAAACACACAAGCTACCCATGAAGAGTCTGCCACTTGTTGCCAATAAACCACAAGCTGCTCATGAAGAGCTGCCACTTGCCATCTTCAAAGAATGTCAAAACACACAAGCTACTCATGAAGAGTCTGCCACTTGTTGCCAATAAACCACAAGCTGCTCATGAAGAGCTGCCACTTGCCATCTTCAAAGAATATTAAAACACACAAGCTACCCATGAAGAGTCCTCCACTTGTTGCTTATAACCCACAAGCTGCTCATGAAGAGCTGCCACTTGCCATTTTCAGTACAAGCTGCTCATGAAGAGCTGCCACTTTCCGTTTTTTAAAGAAAAATAACGTACAAGCTACCCATGAAAGGACTGCCACTTGCCGTTTGTCAAGAGTATCCATAACACACAAGTTGCCTCATGAAGAGACTGCCGCTTGTTGTTTCCCAAAGGTAACAATAACACACAAGTTGCTCATGAAGAGACCGCCACTTGATGTTTTCAAAGGTGACAATAACATACAAGTTGCTCATGAAGAGACCCCGGCTTGCTGTTTTCAAAAGGGTTGATAACATACAAGTTGTCCATGAAGAGACCGCCGCTTGATGTTTTTTCAAAGGTATCAATAACATACATGTTGCTCATGAAGAGACTGCCGCTTGCTGTTTTTCAAAGGTATTAATAACATACAAGTTGTTCGTGAAGAGACCGCCGCTTGCTGTTTAACAATAACACACAAGTTGCTCATGAAGAGGCCGCCGCTTGCTGTTTGTCAAGAGTATCCATAACATATCGTGAAGATATTGCTGGAGGTGAGAACCAATAATTTCATCGGGGATGGACAAACTGCTCATGAAGAGACCGCCATTTGTCATAGAGAAATCAGAAATAATCAAACTGCTCAAATAAAGAGTCAGTCGTTTGTTGTCATGTCGATATTCCAGAAGAAGGTTGTGATAACACTGCTGGGGAATAAAGTTCATCTTCAATGGGGAACCATGAATAAATCCTTCTTGAGAAGACCAAGTATTTATATTGCAAAATAAATGCACTCTCCATCTAGGTTTCACAGCCTAGAGAGATCCACAGGGTATCGTTCACAAGAGACAAAGTTCAATCCAGGAATAAACTGGAGAGAAAATAGTCAAACAAGACTCCACCCAATGAGGAAACAACTCAAATGGGGATTTATCCTATCCAGAGATGGAAAAGGAAAGCTAAAGCAAGACTCTTCCACGAGAGTTAACTCAGTGGGGAATTAGAAAAGAGGCGCACTTTCTGCTTAAGTTGACACTCTATTTGGAAAGATCAAATATGCTATTTGAATAGACATAACCAAGGTATACGAACTCAAAGATATCAACAAATACAACTGTGCGTGCATGATGCAAGTGTGAATGAATAAATGAATGCCATGTATGTGCTGACAAAACAAATAGACAAGATAAATTGGAGATGATAAGACATCATAGCACAACCCAACACTCGGTTAATCTCAACAGGATGGTAACATTACTGGAGATAGAAAACAAAAGCCATCATTGGAGCAAAGTCTTTTTACAAGGCTTAAATCTCTTTGGGGAGGAAGATATTTTCAGGTAGAAAAACCCAAAGTCCAGTCTTCTATTGTCGACAATCCATTGAAAGGATAACAACACGAACAATGCTTCAGCTGGAAAAAGTCATGCTTAGTTGGAGATACTGGGAACACCACCCTCTGATAATGTGTGCAATACATATCACATATCTTGACAAATCTAGATTGCCCCTGGGACCAATTTTGGATGCCCCAAGTTTACTGCTGATGAGCTGCATGTTGCACGACAATTCTTGCGAATAGCTTCACTTCTAACATGCCCCAAGCTATCTGGTTGATAAGGAGAAATCATCTCAAGAGGATTTTACAAAAGACCCGGCATCGCCATGCTCTAGGGTCTTCAAACTCTTAGAGAGATTCATCAAATCTCGATGTGATTGCCCCGGATTGACTGTAGTTGGCACAACAAAGTCTTCAAATTTTGCCCCAAAAGAGTAAACAAGTCGGGAAAGCATTAACTGGGAGAAGCAACATGCTCGTGCTTACGGTCTTCAAGTGACATGCCCATGGATATGATTTTTTCTTGACGTGATCCGCCAATTACTCAACATAGTTTCAGGCCTTAAAAGAATAAACTCATCACTGGTGCTTATGTGAGCTTCCTTGATATCAAACAAATGTTTTGCAGTTAGAAAAAGTTTACAATGAGAATGAAAATTCTAATGGAACAGTTATGTAAGTCTTGAAGATTTTGAAAGATATCGCACAAATTTTGCGAGTTAAAGCACCATTTATTTTTGTATAGGAAAAACATATGATACCAACATAACTATTTAGAACATTCATGGGAGTCAGGAACAATATCTCATTGAAGTATGCTTTCAAAATAACCTTGCTTCAATTAGGACTTTTGAAGGTTGTAACGTGGTCTGGTTCATGGTTTTAGAAAAAAAGGATTTAAGGCTCAAAATATTTGGTGCCCACCCATTCTTCGTGATGTTCTCCAACCCTATGTTCAGTTAATTCAACATGAGTGTTCATCTCTCAAAAGGATTTTGTGACGGTCAAGGAAACGACGAGGCTTTCGGAGTAGAAACCACCCACATGTCTTCGTGTTTGTAGTCACCAATTTGTTCTTTGCTGAGGACTTTTCTTTGCTGTCCTTTTCTTTGAAATTTTTATTTTCCCTAACTTTTTCCTGAACTAATTCTTTTGAATTGATAGTCCAGCGGGATGCCTTAATTTTTCCTAAGTCACACGTTTTCATGTTTTTTGACTTAGCAGGCTTTTTCTTTTTTTCTCGATTTTTGACTTTTTGAACAAAATGTGTGACATTAGCTTGCATTGCTTGTTGAGAGAATTGTGATTGCCTCGTTTATTGATGAATGAGGGTTAACATTGTGGTTCCACATCCTCTAGATTCATTATACATGAAGGATAGCCCTTGTAGTTTCTCTTCAAAAAACATCTTCCTTATGAATTTTGAACACTCAATCAGATTAACTGAAAACTACCCTGCCCCAGGTTAAAATTTGAGGGTTTTTTGTATAGAAAAGAAACTCCTACTTCAAGGCTCAAAGGGGTTATCAAGGGATTATCTTCCTTATATCTCCGGTGTTTACGGATTTGAAACAATGCCTGTACATCATCAGCAAGATTTTATCCAAAAGCATACCAGAGATTTTGTGTTTTTCAGATCATCATCCTCCCTTCAATCTCTGCCTAGGCAAGAGAATGAGCAACAAGTTGGTATCATAATGCAAAAGCAATTTAAAATTTTAAAACAAATATGAGTGAAACGAATGAATTTCTTCAAAACAAACATACTCATTGTATTAAGATAATCATACAGATGCAAACAAGTTCTTACATGCAAACAATGTTTTGATAAACAAGAAAAATTACAAAAAGCAGAAATAAGTTAATGATCGGGGAAGGCTTTCCATCTGGACTTGAACCACCGAAAACATCCTTCAAAACTCAAAGTGACCACCAATCTTGTTTAC